TAGGGAGCTGTGGCTCTCTGCTCTGATGTGGTGCCTCAGTGCACAGCCCTATGCTGGACAGGACGTGGAGGTGTCTTTGAGGTCTTCAGTCTGCCCAGGATCCCAGCACTCAACTCCTTCCTGCTGTGTTTTCTGGGGACAGAGCTTCAGTCACCATCAAGCCCACCCAGGCAGGACCTTGAACTTCCACAGAGAAACCTTCCTCCCAGAGCTGGTCTCCAGGTGAGTCTGAGAGCTCAGTGGACACTGCAGGAGAGCAGAAGGGAGAATAGAGCCAAAGACACTTTAGCTGAGGTCAGGGGAGAGCCAGGCTGAGCTAGCCAGGAGCAGGGCTGCTGTGGCTGCTTGCTGTCCTGATGGATGATTTATTCACAGGCTGCATTGATTCATAACACTTCCAGAGAAGTGAATGTTGCACTGACTAACACAGGGTTCTCTGCTGACCAGGAATTGGTGCTAATAGAGGCTGAAGAGAAGATGAGAGGAGGTGTCTAGTTTTCCAAGTGAAAGAACAGAGGTCCAAGTATCTTTGCAATTAAAGGAGTAGAGAAATAAAAAGATCCTGAGTAAGAATCTTGCAAAAATTTTCTTACCACAAAAGTCCATGGGACATAAATTTTAAAGTATTGTTTTCTCTATAGTAACATTGAAAAATATAATTTTACAGGTGAATAGAGATATGCCTGGAGCATTACCATAGAACGATTTGAACATCTTTGGGGCTGAATATGCCTGTTATTTGTTACCTGTTTCTTAGTGTGTTGCAAAGGGCTTTTCCAGTTTCTCTATAGTATACTTGATAGGACTCCCCCACCCACTGTTTCCAATATAATCATTTTAAAATTTATATACACTTCTTAAAATTTTATTTATTTTAATTAGTTGTACATGGCAATAGAATGAATTTGTGCACTTTGATATATCATACATAAATGGGGTATAATTTCTAATTTTTTTGATTGTTCACGTCGGAGAATCACATTGGTCATGCAGATTATGTTGCTTATTATTTACAAAAATCCTGAGTAAGATCTTGCAAAAATTATCTTACCACAAAAGTTCATGGGGCACAGATTTAAAGTACTGTTTTCTCTATAGTAACATTGAAAAATATAATTTACAGGCAATTAGAGATATGCCTATAGCTTTACTGTGGGATGATTTGAAACCTGTGAGGCTGAAGATCCCTGTGGTGTGTTAGCTATTTCCTGTGTGTTGCAATGGGTTGTGTTGGTTTCTCTATGATGTACTTGATAGGAGTCCTCCCTGCACTGTTTTCCAATACAGACTTTTAAAGAGATTACTGGATTTTTTTTTCTTCCACAGCCTGCCTATTTTCATGTAGGTAGAGATGTTTTGATTGGGACCATTTGCAAATTTGTGAGTTTTGTACTTTCTAGTCTATCAATTGATTGTATTTGCTTGCTCATTGTTTTGTTCTCAAGCTGTGGGTGATTAAGATTTTTATTTTCCAGTCCTCATTTTAAATTAAAAAAAGGTATTGGATGTTCTCCTGCACCCCTAGTGCTACATCACCTGAGATATACATTTCAAACTGTTTTTCACATCTCTGTGTTAATTACTGTGTCTTTTGTCTTTTTCTGATCAGATGCATTGCTAAGAAAGGCGTCACCTTTAGACATTGAAAGACATTCATGCTTATTTCTCTCTTGACACAAGCTCATTTTATCTTTATTGAGCCTATTTTAATGTACATACTTTTATGAGAGATATTAAAACTTTACATATTTTCACTACATGCAGTTCATTTGTATTATTTTCCAGGTATTTGGTAGTGTAGTCTTGAATTCAAACCCATGTTGATATCATTAAACAACTCAGATTTTACAGCTTTCCCATGGATGTTTTAGATTTTTTCATTCCATTTGGTTTCAATCAGTGCCTGCTGAATGAATGTATTGAAAAGTAACATGGAACCCTGCCAACCAGTATAGAGGGCATTTTTAATCAAAAATAGAAGAAAATTTAAGACTCAGTGTAGTAGAATATAGGCTGGTGTCAGCAGAGGCAGGAAAGGCACTGGGAGGAGCCAATGTTGCTACTGTTAACTGATAACTGCAGCAGTCAGCAGTCACAGGAGGAAGGGGTCCCCTGTCCCAGCACACAGTAGGATTTTTGCAGTCTAAAACCATTTCTTACACATTTTTATATCCAAAATTTTATAACCCTAAGAAGAAAACATAATATTAGTTACAAAACACTATACTAGTTTTTGATATCACATTTTTCATAAATGTTAGAAAGTCTCAAACACAAGGAAATGATAAATGTTTAAGGAGGAACACGTGCTAATGACCCTGATTTGAGCATTCTATGTTGCATACAGATATTGAATGATCACATGAGGCCCTGCTAGTGGGTACAGCTGCTATGTGTCAGTTAAAAAAACCTAGGGTCATGCTGAAGTCCATAGAGCAGTTGCTTATCCTGCAAAAGTTCCTGGGTTTAACTTCAGCCTTGCAAAAAGACCCAAAGCAAAGTAAAAAAACAAAAACAAAAACAAAACAAAATGGAAGAAAACAAAAGCCAAAAGCCAAAATGAAAGAAAGGTGTCACCTTTAGACATTTGCAAAAAAAATCAATAATCAATGTGAGATATTATATCAAATTAGAAACAAAACAAAAATCCATAAACTCATTGCATTAGATAAAATCAATAATTACACTAAGCTTACTAACACTGTAATTCAGTTTTTATATAAGTTCTTAGTTATTTTTGAGCTTTTCTTCCTATACTCTGCATCCTGATAAGCTCATAACCCTTTATACAAATGCAGGAATAGGCTCCTGTGCACATCATTCATTCCCTCTGTTTAGTGCTGGGGTCTTTTCTAGCTTGTCCCCTCTTCCCTTCTCCCTCAAAGATGTCTACTGAGTTCCTTCAAATCAACCAACATAATGCACTTTAGATATTTCAAAGGATGCCAAGCAGTTCACAATGGGGCTGTGATACCCATACTTTTGGTGGTCTTTCTTATTTTTTCTTATCACTGATTTGCTATTACATCACTGCTGCAAAAATATTTTGCTACTGTTAATTTCAAAGTGGTTTTTCAATCATGAGTGATATTTGTGCCCCAGGGGACATTGAGCAGTGTCCAAAGATTTTTTTTTCCTATCATGAGAGGTCATGGATGCTTCTAAATGTCCTACAATGTACAGGACAGACCTCTCTCAAAGAGTGATCATACCAGAATGTTGTCAGCGAGAACATTAAGAAGCCTTGGGTAAAAGAATATCTTCATCTTTAACATTCATCCCTGTCTGCAGCATGTCTCACCAGGACATGGTACCAAGTCACCTGTCTCCCACCATCTCAGAGAGTTCCTCTTTTCAGTTTGAAAATTCTAATCACACCAGTTTAAGGACTCTTTAGGGTCTTTTCCAAGGCAGAAGAGTGTGAAAGTGATACCTTGCTGTTTTCTTCACAGCTTGGAGCTAATCTTTGATCTTATCATCACCATTTTGATCTCCCTAGTGTTGATCTCTGCCTATTTTTCTACCAGTATCAGCATTCCAAGGTATGTTACAATTACTGTTCCTCCACTGACTGTTGGGGTAATTTTGACTATTCAGTAGTTTCATATTATATTTAATTATATGTGTTTACCATTTTATACCTGAATTTCTTGCCTTACAATGCAATGGTTCACTGTAGATTTTATATATACTGTCTAATACATTTTCATCTCAAATGTATTTTGCATTTTTACACTGAGGTCTTTAATCTGTCTTATTATTGGTAAATGTGTGAGCTAGGAGATCAACTTCATCTCCTCTGAGACAGATGGCCATTTTGTAAGGATTTATTCTGCCATCTAGTATTTTCCTACCAGATGGATATTTAACTATGTTATATGAAATGTCCACACTAAACATCATTCTAAATTCATTCTTAAGAAATAATTGAGCACTTATCACCTGCAACAATTTCATAGGAACATTATCTGCTATATTCTAGTGTGTAAAAGTCTTTGTCAGTTTAATTATTATTTCATGCTGATATTTTTAAAATGCTGTATATAATCTTTTTATTTTATTTTTTCAGTTCTTTTTCAATTTCTTTTTGTTTGGAAAACCATGAAAATAGCAGCTCCAGTGGCTCAGGATGTTGATTAGTGTAGAGCACTTGCAAACACAGAGAAGGCCAAGAGTTCACAACACACACACACACACACACACACACACAGAACCTCTAATCTCCATTATACCTTATTTTGTTTTTCTCATATTTGCTTCACCCTCAGGCATCATATGTGATTATTTCTGTTTAAAACAGCTTTATTGAGTTGTAATTAATATTTAAAGGATCACATGGAGTTGATGTGTATAATTCAGTGAGGGGGCACAGTTGCCAATACATGTGATATGTGATTAGCACCAAAATGCAATAGACTGTGATTTGCCTCTGTGTGGATGTGCTCTGTCCATCATTGGGATGTAGGAGCTTTGGTTGTAGAGGCTTCACCTGTGCCTGGAACATGGCCAGTACTCTGCATGTGCTCCTCCATGGTAAGAAGCAATTTCTCACTAAAAGTGTACAAAACATGAGCTGTGGATAAAATCTTAGAGTTAGACAGAAATTCTTACTCAGTAATGGCACTAGGGATGTCTGAGGATGATCTGACCTAGAAACAAAATATAAATCAATTTCTTGGCTGGAAAATATAAATTGTCCCATTTCTATTTATTTATTTATTTTTTGGGGTGATGGAAATTGAACCCAGCGGCACATTGAGCCACATTGCAGGCCTTTATATTTTGAGACAGGGTCCTGTGAAGCTGCATAGGGTCTTTCTACATTGCTGAGGCTGGCCTTGAGTTTGTACTCCTCCTGCCTCAGCCTCCTGAGTGGATGGAATTACAGGTATGTGCCACCAGATGTGGCTAAATTCTTCCATTTCAATCAAATCAGTGGTGTCTATATGTGTGAAAAGAGGTCATATTATTTATTTTTTCTTGGTAGGCACATCTACCACATGGAACCAGGGAACAATACAAGAATTTCAGAATTCCTTCTGCTGGGATTTTCAGAGGACCCAGAACTGCAGCCTCTCATCTTTGGGCTGTTCCTCTCCATGTACCTGGTCACTGTGCTGGGGAACCTGCTCATCATCCTGGCCACCATCTCAGACTCCCACCTGCACACGCCCATGTACTTCTTCCTCTCCAACCTGTCCTTTGTGGACATCTGGTTCATCTCCACCACCGTCCCCAAGATGCTGGTGAACATCCAGACACAGAGCAAGGCCATTACCTACGCAGGCTGCATCACCCAGATGTGCTTTTTCTTTATTTTTGTAGAGTTGGACAACTTCCTCCTGGCTGTGATGGCCTATGACAGGTATGTGGCTGTCTGCCACCCGCTGCACTACACTGTCATCATGAATCCCAGGCTCTGTGGTTTGCTGGTTCTAGTGTGCTGGATCCTGAGTGTCCTGCATGCCCTGTTACAAAGCTTAATGGTGTTGCGACTGTCCTTCTGCACACACTCAGAAATTCCCCACTTTTTCTGTGAACGTAACCAGGTGATCCGGCTTGCCTGTTCTGACACCTTTCTGAATGATATGGTGATGAATTTTGCATCCGTGTTGCTGGGAGGTGGCCCCCTCGCTGGCATCCTTTACTCCTACTCCAAGATTGTGTCCTCCATCCATGCAATCTCATCAGCTCAGGGCAGGTACAAAGCCTTCTCGACCTGTGCATCTCACCTCTCCGTGGTCTTCTTATTTTATGGCACAGGCCTGGGTGTGTACTTTAGTTCTGCTGCAGCCCAGAGCTCACCCTCCAGTGCAACAGCCTCTGTGATGTACACTGTGGTCACCCCCATGCTGAATCCCTTCATCTACAGCCTGAGGAATAAGGATGTGAAGGGAGCCCTGAGAAGGTTCTTTGGAGGGAAACTGTAGGAGGGTTCAGAAGCCCATGCTCAGGACTGCAGGCAGCAAAGCCTCAGAGCCAGAGTTGGGGTTTCTGATGAGATTGGGAATGTAAAGCTTCTACCTTCTGTTTTATTTCCTGAAGATTCATTGCTCTGATTTCAACCTCTCTCTACCATTTAACAACTCCCTTTATTCAGCTTCCTGGTTTCTCTGATATTCAATAGATTTTCACTTCATTTGATTTTCTCAATTCTTCCAAATGTTGGACAAGAAATATTGATGTCATGGGACAGGAAGGATTTCTTACAAATCATGTCTTCCCTCTTGAAATATTGTATTGATTAAATTTTTTGTTTCACTGAAAAATATTTATGTGTGTTGTTCTGTCTGTGGAGAAACAGCCCTGGGCACCTGAGGTGGGTTTTATAATTTGTAGTAGAGGAAAATGTGATAATGAAGTATTCCTCTTTGCATGGCCAATCCTGTGTGTATGAATGCTTTAACTATTCCTCTTGATAAGTTGGACTGAGTGTAGTAGTGTTTCTTGTGACAGGTTATTGGGGTATTAAAGATAAATTTAAAAATTTCAAGTTGACATATTTAAAAGTTCTCTGGATTAGATCAAGACACCCTTGGAGATCATTTTTCCACCTACTACAAGTTCTTTTTTCAGGATGATATTAGTTGTCATTCAAGAACCCTTGTATGGAATTATAGGCTGGGCATGGTGGAGCACAGCTTTAAACCAAGAGTGTGGAGCTTGCAGCTGGAGGGTGGTCATTGTGAAACCAGCCTGAGCAAGTTAGGGAGACCCAGCTTAATGAATAAACAAATAAGAGTTAGGGCATGTCGTGCAGTGGTAGGCCACCTCTGAGTTCAATCCTCAAAACCACAAAATGATAATAATGATGATGACAACAACAACAATATGCAGAAATCAATACAGTCTCTAGAGTGAGTGAACAACTTCCTTCAGAAAATACACAAAATTATAACATATAAGGGCAAATAATAACATAAATAAAAAATAATAACATACTAAGAGGAGAAAACCTAAAACTACCTACACAGAACATCACAGCCTTGATGCTCAAAGAGAGGTCCACAGAGAAGGACCTGCAGTACCAGGACCACCTTATTCATAGAATGCAGAGTTCCTGCAACCACAGGAGAACTATGGCCTCAGAATTTGCATCTGAACTTGCATCCCTGGTAATTCTTCTGCATGATGATATAGGTATAGAATGGGTTTTGATCACCTCTTCCCTGTAGACATTTGGGGGCAGGATAATTATTTGTGTTGGGAGCTGTTTTGGGTGTTGTAAATGGTTAGTACCACTATTCAGACATTGCTAATTATCCCCAGGGGAAAATATATGTAGATGAAAACCAAAGGGCTATATTTGAGAAGTGAAAGCATCATGTCAGAATTCAAATGAAGGTCCCATCCCTCCTCAACGTGTAGCATTTGTCAGCCCATTTTCTGCCATGGAGACGGAAGTCATAACAGTATCACTATATAAAATAGACTCAGTAGAATAGAGTTCAATAAAATGAAGTTTCCTGGTTCCTATTGGGAATTAAGCTCAGAGTATGATGGATAAAGAGAACCAATCCCATCTCTTCCTAATAAACATTTTTAAATGAAGGACTGAAAGGGAGCTCTTAGCTGGTATCAAAACGACAATTTCCTGATAGTATAGGAAAGGGTCACAAAGGCAGGAAGTATAATGCCCAAGGCTTTATACATTGGAACCCAACTCTATCCATCGTTAAAGAAGGCATGACTATTTTCTGGGGATATCAGGTGCTTATTGCCCAGCCTGAGTCCATGCTTTAAGACACTTGAACTCTGGTCACGATGAGCTCATCAGCGTGAGACTCAGAAAACACTTAGGGTCACAGGAAGGATGAAGTGCCTCTGGAAGGCAGCAGATAAATCCATGGAGGAATAATAAAAACTAAGTTTACTGGACTACAAGTGGGTCTCCTGGGAACAGAGAATCAGCAGGATGAATTTCCTGTCTTTCTAGGCCAGTGTCCCCCAGGAGAACAAGAGGGAAATGAGATAATGAGCAGATATAGGGAGCTGTGGCTCTCTGCTCTGATGTGGTACCTCAGTGCACAGCCCTGCGCTGGACAGGACGTGGAGGTGTCTTTGAGGTCTATAGTCTGCCTATGGACCTGGCCCTTGACTTCTTTCTGCTGTGTTATCTGGGGACAGAGCTTCAGTCACCATCAAGCCCACCCAGGCAGGACCTTGCACTTCCACAGAGAAACCTTCCTCCCAGAGCTGGTCTCCAGGTGAGTCTGAGAGCTCAGTGGACACTGCAGGAGAGCAGAAGGGAGAATAGAGCCAAAGACACTTTAGCTGAGGTCAGGGGAGAGCCAGGCTGAGCTATCCCAGAGCAGGGCTGCTGTGGCCACTTGCTGTCCTGATGGATGATTTATTCACAGGCTGCATTGGTTCATAACACTTAGCTGAGAAGTGAATGTTGCACTGGTTAACGCAGGGTTCACTGCTGACCGTGAAATGGAGCTAACAGAGGCTGAAGAGAAGATGGGAGGGAGGCATCCAGTGCTCCCAGAGAAAGAACAGAGGCTGAAGGATCTTTGCAATTAAGAGAGCAGAGGAATAGGGATTAACTGTGGAGGGTAAAATTGTGAAGTTAGGGTGTATTTTGATGCATGTGCACTTAAGATGAGAAATATTTGATTATATTTATGTAGTGTTGACAAGTTCCTGAGTAAGATTATCTCAATGCAAATGTTCATGTGACATACATTTTAAAGTTTTTTTTCCTGTAGTCTCATTAAAAAACATAATTTAACAGGTGAATAGAGGCATACCTAAGAGCCTTACTTTGAATAGTTTATATGTCTGCAAGCCTGAATGTGTATGTGAGTTTGTTGGCCATGTGCTTCTTATTCTGCAGCATCTATGCCAGTTTCTCTGTTGTATACTAGCAAGTTTTATCCAGCCCCCCTTATTCTTTATTTTTTAGTACCAGAGTTGAACTCAGAGGCACTTGACCACTGAGCCATATCCCCAGCCCTATTTTGTATTTTCTTTAGAAACAGGGTCTCCCCTATTTGCTAGCACCTTGCTATTGCTGAGATTGGCTTTGAACTTGCCATCCTCCTGCTTTGGCCTCCTGAGCCACTAAGATTACAGGGGTGTACCACGGCGCCCAGCCCCTTGTATTCTTTATAGGAGATTATTGGAGTTTCTTTCTTTCTTTCTTTTTTTCAGATAGCCTATTTTCATGTTGAAAACTGATAAATTTGTAAATTCAATTTTATCAATTAGCTGTATTTGTGAAATTGAGTGACTAATATTTTTTCAATCTTTGCTTTAAATAAAAAAGATATTGAATATTCTCATGCATCCCTAGTGCTAGGTCACATTTGATTCTGTGTTGCTTATTGTGTCTTTGGTCTTTTTCTGATCAGATGCATTGCTCAGAAAGGCGTGATCACCTTAACGTATCATTGAAAGGCTTTCATGCTTATTTTCCTCTTGATCCAAGCTCATTCTGTCTTTATTTATAATATTCTAATGACATATTTTTTGTGTGAAAGATATTAAAACTTTACATATTTGCACTACCATGCAAGTTATAGGACTTCCTTCATTTTGTATTATTTGAGACATTTGTTAACTTAATCTTGAATTCATAACCCATGTTAATGTCATTAAATAATCCCTATTTTACATATTTTCCGGTTTTATATTTTTCATTCCATTTTGGTTCAATCAGTGCCTGCTGAATGAATGTATTGAAAAGTGACATGGAACCCTGTCAACATGTACAGAGGGCATTTTTAATCAAAAATAGGAGAAAATTTAAGACTCACTATGGTGGAAATCTAGGCTGGTGGTCAACAGAGGCAGGAAAGGCAGGGGGAGGAGCCAGGGAGGCCTGATAACCACAGCAGTCCACAGTCACAGGAGAAAGGGGCCCCCTGTCCCAGCACACGGTGGGACATTTGCAGTCTAAATCCATTTCTCAAACATTTTTGCATTCAAATTTTATAATCATAAGAAGCAAACTTAAAATTACTCCAAAATACTACACTAGCTTTATAACACACATTTTATGAAAAATAAGAAAAATGAAGTTAGAGAGTTCCCCAAACAAAGAATTGACAAATGTTTAAAGAGAGGGAAATGCGAATTATCCTGATTTGAGCATTCTATGTTGCATATATGTATTGAATGTTCACACTCTCCCTGTGGTATGTACAGTTATTTTGTGTCTGTTCAAAAAACGGGTTGAGGTGAAGCTCAGGCAGAGCACTTGCTTATTATGTACAACATCCTGTGTTTGACCCCCAGCGATGCAAATAAAAATAAGAAACATAAAAGCAAGGCCCCCTCAATAGAAAACTGCAATTAATAATCAAAGTGAGGTATTAAGTAAAAATTGGAAACAAAAATAAAATCCATAAAGTCATTGCATTAAATTAAAAAAACTATATTATACCAAAATTACTAGCATTGTCACTGTTTTTCTAGAAGTTCTTATTAAGCTTACTTCCTATACTCTGCACCCTGACAAGCTCATATACCCTTTATACAAATGCAGGAATAGGCTCCCATGCACATTGCACATACCCTCTGTTTAGTGCTGGGTTCTTTTCTAGCTTTTCCCATCTTTCCCTCTCTCTCAAAGATGCCTACTGAGTTCCTTCAAATCAACTAAGTTAATGGAATGCACAATACTTCACCATGGGGCTGTGATACCCATGCTTTTGGTAGTCTTTCTTATTTTTTTAATCATTGATTTACTATTACATCAGTGCTGCAAAAATATTTTGCTATGATTAATTTCAAAGTGGTTCTCAGTCACAAATGATATTTATGCTCCAGGGGCATTGAGCAGTGTCCAGACACATTTTCTGCTGTCAAAAAGTAAGGGGTCATAACTATGTTATTTGAAGTGTTCACATACACTGGACTTCATTTCTGGTTCATTCAACCAGGGATAACTGAGTGTTTATCACCTGCCAGTTGTCATGGGAAC